ACATGTTGGGCTGAATAATTCTGTATTGTGTGGGGCTCTTCTGTTCTTTCTAGAATGTTTAATAACATCTCTAGCCTCTGTCCTGTAGATCCCCACCCCCAGTGCAGCAACCAAAGATGTACCGTGGAGAACAGAATTGTCTCCAGTTGAGAACTACTGTAGGAGAGATTGATTAAATTAAAGAAGGAAAAGAGAATAGTGAGAAATAAAGAGCTATTGTTTTTGAATTTATTGTGCAGTACTTTATTACCTGTGTAGTTCTAGAGAAAATAAATACTAAGGAGAGACAATCTGTTGGTTCCTAGTTAGTGTTCAGTTCCCTATTCATCTTTAGCTGGAATTTGGTTTAGATTAATTCACAATTGCAACTCACTTAGAACAAATGTTGATCTTGATGCTATTGTTATTAGCTATAGAATCCCCAAGAACTGTCTATGAAGGGGACCCTCTGATCACAGGGATCTTTCACAATATTACTTTGTAGATGGGGAGCTGGAGAAGAAGATTAACATGAGACTCATGTTAAGACTTTAATAACTGCATGCATGAATTAAGTGAAGAAACACACCCACTCTACACTATAATTCAGCTTTATGGATGGGAGGTTAGATACATGATTTAAATACACGTTTCATTGAATCCACTGTCTTATATAATCCTAAAAATTATCTAGAATATCGCATGCTTCCTGTGTAGAATTGTAGTTCATTCTCTCTGTTCTGACTCTCTTCAAATTTACTTACACCTCTATAGCTAAGTGTTTTAGCTTCCAGACAAGTTGAATCATGTCACTACTGTGACTTAACATGAATGTCCTGTTTTCTTTATTTCAAATTTTTTCTCTCTCTCTGTTCTTCTTACATGAACATACATGCTTACCAATCATATTCTGTTTTTGTTTTTGCCGTTTGTTTCTTTTTCTGATTTTTCTCCCCCTCCTGCCTTTGCTTCTTTACCTTTTCTCTGGCTAGAAAAAACCATTAGGTAGCTTTCTGGCATCACTGTAGCTTTTCTGAACTGTGTTATTCAGGGGTTTCCGTCTATTACGCCTTGGGCACTCTTTTTCTTTAATATTCTGTCTCTCCGAGGGATAGTTAATGATCTTTGCGGCGATTGAAGGGAACTGTAGACACAGTATTGTTATAATACAGCCCACTCCGAGGAACAGATTGGGCTGAGCTTGGAACAGCTGGGGCTGGCTGAGTGAGTCTTGACTGCTCTCGGAAGAGTTCCAGAACTGCCAAATCATCACACTTGAAGGGGAAAGAGGGACAAGAAAGGTTATAGGAATAGTGGTCCCTGCAGGTGCTTTTTGTTTTTGTGATTTGCCTTTCAGAATTTTTTGCTAGTTTGTAGCTGTGGCAAAAGATAGATTCATTGAGTTCGGGGACTGTTGTTATTACTACAGCCTGGATCGCATTGGGCTGTGGCGGTATTTTATTGTTTATTTGCAGGTAAGGAACAAGTGATCACATAGAGGCTTTTGCAGTTAAAATAAAATATGTGCCTCTCTTTAATCCAACCAAACTATTTGTTATTTTAAAGAGTTTGGCTTTGTCCAGCGTATGTAATTCTAGTATAATTTTAATAAGGGTGACATTAGAACTTTTAGATGATAGCCTGGCTTCCTGGTAATGTAATGGGAAGCAGGTGGGATAGGGTAGATAACATTAATCAGTGGGCCTGATCTGTCCTTCAAATGTGATATGCTTGCCCATTCAAGGAGGGATGTTTACATATGTGTCTACACGCATGTGTGTTCAAACAACCTACACAAAAGTCTTTATATAAAAATCTGCTTAATATTCCCAAAGAAGCCGGGAAGTCTGTCTCCACTGAGACTGCGCTGTCTCCCAAGGGACTTGGCATTCACTAGTGTCTCACCTTGCACTCTCACAGTTGCTTCTCAGTCTGGCCCCTGTAGGAGAAGTCCAGGAGACCGAAGGTAGGGGACTTGGGATTGGGAATAGTTGGGTTTGAATCTTAGCCTCACTACCTGTTTTCTTCATTTGGGCAAGTTCCTTTGCTTTCTGAGCCTCAGTTTCTTCATGTATAAAATGGGAAGGTACTTCTCCCCACTTATGGTTGCTGGGAAGAGAATTGAGTGAGATAGCAAATTTGGTGTTTCTGATACAGAGCTGTGTATGTAGATGGGGTAGTCGCTGCATACATTTGCTGTTATAAATTTTAGTTGCTTTGTGTCATGGTTAGTTCATACCAAGCCTTTTGTGTCACATGGATAATGTTGTAAAATGCTGCTTTTAATTGGGACAGTAGTAGAGACGTGGGGTTCTCTCACATTTCAATGTTTGTCATGGAGTATAAAATATATTCAGAATGAATTATCCGGCAGAAACTGATGTCCTAAAGGTAGCAGAAGTTGAAGAGAAAAGCAATCTTATAATTGGGTTTCTATTAAGTAGAGTCTAAGTTTTCTTTTGTCAGGCCTTTGTGATTTTACTTTTAAGCGCATGGAGTTTCTGTTCCCTTTGGCGCTCCTCCACTCTTGCAGTTGCTTTTGAAGTCAGGTGGATGATAACCCAGGGGCCTCAAGACTGTCACAATCCTCTGGGAAGGGGGTATAGAAATGGGAGCACAGCATATATTACTATATTGTCTTAAAGATTGGAATTAATTTTCATTTTACTTAGGTTCACAATGCTGCTGGGAAGATGTATTAGCTATTTTTCCATACAGGTCGTTTATATTTCAAAAGATTTTTTTCTACATGATTACATTCAGTTGGCACCTCTTTTCTCTCTAACATCTGATCTTCCGGCACACATGCGGATGCCATCCCGGGTGGGAGCAGGGACTTCCTGGTTATTATATACATGGTGAAGAAACACCCGGTTTTCCGCCTATTTTTCTACTTCCTGAAAAGACAAGTTTCCTTGAGATGTGGATATTTCACTTAAATGCATACTCATTGCAAAATGGAAAAGATAGAGAAAAGTGCAATATTTTCTTTCTGTCTTTCTGAAGACAAGTAGGAAAATCTTGTAAGTCCAGTGAACTGCTTCTCAGAAGAAAGCAAGGTGACTAGAAAACTATTAGAGCAGCTTTGAGACCAGTGGAAGAAATAGACGTAACTGGAACGTGATCTGTGATTGGCAGTTATGCTTCATGTTGGCACTTCTCACCAGAGCAAAAGAGATACTTAATAAAAGAGAGAGGACCAGGGAGATAGCAAGTGCAAGGTCTTGAGTTCGATTCCCAGGACAGGGGGAAAGAGGGGGTGGGGGTGGAATATGGGTGATAAGAACATCATAAGAAAACAAAGATTTTCCATATGTTCTAAACCTTTGGCCAAGACACTGTAAGATGCTTACATCTAAGGAAGCATTCAGAATGATCCCTTAGAATTGTCAGCATTTTAATTGTACAAAACTAATAGTTTCACATGGAACCCAAAACAATTACGGTAAAACTGTGATTTGTGAGCATAATTTGTTCCAGAAACATGCTTGTAATCCAAAGTATTTCTATATCAAATCAAATTTCCCTATAAGAAATAAGGGAAACTAAGATGATTCGTTCCATAACCCAAAAATATCCATATAAAAATGATTTCAATACTGTAATATAATACCAAGGAATAAAGAAAATAGAAATTTAAAGAAAAATAAACAAATTAACTCACACTTACCTTTGAAACCTTCATGTCTGCTGTGAGGGAGACAAGAGAGTGGGAGGGTTATTGTATAGGATGATCTTAAATATCACTAACAGAATCACTGCTGTTTATTGATTTAGTGGAATCTTTTGTTCAACTTTAACAAGGAACCTGTCCAGTGACACTTGCTTTTGCCTCTTTTTGATATATCACAGAAATGTGATGCTAGGTTGTCATTACACAGATTTTGTTGCATACACTGCTACAGCCTTATTGAAGTGGTACTGTACTTTTTTTTAGTAAATTTTTACTGTTTCCCACATTTTACGCATTTCCCTAATCTCATGTGGATGGAGCGATTCCTCCTCCTTTCCCTCTGTCTCCTCTACAGTTGAGATCTCTTCCATAACTTCTTGCCTTTTGGGAAATGATCACTCATAGCCTCCTGGACAGAGAGGTGGAGGTGGGGAGACCACTGGTTCAGTTGTGATCACTTGGCAGGCAGCATCATATGCTACTCTGCCACTCCTATTCCATGACATCAGTTGCTTATAAAGTTAAAATCTATTAGAAGTATTGGCTCATCTTACAGATCTCTTGCAAAACAAATTACTAACATTCCAATGTTTTACTGTATTACACTTTTCGTAAGAACTTTTCTAGATTTTCCAATGAAGTGTGTGGATTAGTCCAAAATGCCAAACATGTTTGGATCTCTAGTTGGTGACTTTTTTTGCCTATAAGTTGACATACATTTTCTGTTTTGATTTCTTTTTTCTTAAATTAGTTTTTCCTGTTTTTCCCCTAAAAATTGTGTTATTGGTCCAAATTTCGTAGGGGCAGCGAAGAGAGGTAGAAAGCTCAAGGCAAAGTTTTCAAAACCAATGGGGGATTTTTCAGATTCTTCCTCTGGGAATGTATATGGCAGGTTGAGTTTCATTCTGGGATTTCCACGACCCTTAGTGAGGCTTTTTTTACTTTCATTGACTTAAGCACTTTTTTTTGGTAAACAATACGTGTGTCAGAAGATGGAAAGCTACACCCCTGGCATGATTTATGGCAACCTGTTCTTGGTATGGCTTAGACTATGTTGGCAGTTGTGAAATGTGCTCAAATAGGCATTTTCCCTTTCCTTTTCTAGGTCATAGTGATTTCATGAATATTGTTATAGTTTAGGCAAAACCCAAATTTTCTTAGTGAAGAAAAATTAAAACCCTCCATGAAGGCTGGGAGGGAGTGAAGCCCTGATCTGCTGGAGGTGGTTTGGTCATGGGGGATGTATGTGACTCAGAGGGGTAGTTCAGAGTGAAAAAGAGAGGTGCTTCCCTTGTGTGCTTGTTTCTTGGTTTTGACAGCCTCTCCTTTTGTTTTGTGTTTTTTTAAGGTCCAGCCTTTCTGGGTCCCTCAGGCAGGTGAGGCGAGCCTGCAGGCATGCTGTGGACCGCTGCAACTTGCTAGTCCCAGGGTCACAGCAAGTGGAAGTGCCGGGCACCACACATGGCTTTGAGCAAAACCCACTTCCTCCATCCCGGAGAGCATGAAGCCGTTACACCACCATCAATCAAGGGGAACCCACGGGCTGCGCTCACACCGTTGAAGCAGGTGCGTGAGCGAGATTCTCCGATGGGCGTATGCGGCCTGTTGTACTTGGTGTCACCCACAGATGGCAGTTATGATGGCTGCGTGGGCTGTGCCCACTGTCTCAGAGCCACTCTGAGCTGTTGTCCTTAGCATGGAGTAGGCAGCTCTGAGGAGTGAGCAGGGGAGGAATTCTTCACTCCCTTGTTTGGTGAAGAAGAATCAGAAAGAAATACAGTTTCCTTTCTTTCTTTCTTTCTTTTTTTCTTTCTTTCTTTCTTTCCTTTGCTTTCTTGGTGCCATATTTTAGTGAGAACATCTCATGGAACAAGTGCTTTAGGCTAGTAAACAAGAAAAGCACTAATTTACTAAAACTAATGGAAAAATGCAAGATCTGAAGTTAGAGTGTGCAGGTACATGCACGAGGATGTGTCAAATATAACCACGGCATGGTTGCACTAATTATGTGTGCACATGTACATGTGTGCATAGATATGCATGCATGTGTATGTGGTCAGGAGTACATGAGTATCTGTGACTTTCTAAGTGTTAAATCAAGTTGATGGTGTTAGTAACAATGCTTATCTCATCCTAAATTGAACCAATCTGTTTTATAGTAATCTTTAGGAAATTGTCACATAACTCCTTGAGTTATTTTAATAAATAAAAAGAATAGAACTATTACCCAGGACTATATATATACATATATATAGTCTGGTTTGATATCTGCTGGTTTTGATATCTACTTTGGGCAGCTGCTTTGAAATATTGTGCTTATTATTATTATAGCTAGGTGATTTGTCTTTATTTTGTTTTTATTCTTAACAACTGCCTCATGTTTCTGTAATAGCTGCATAGTGAATACAGAAAAAGTCAAACATGGAAGTAGTATTTAAAAAGTATACTTACAAGTGTTACCGTAGAAATATTTGTGAAGATTGGGAATTCTTTCTTTTCTTTTTTGGAGAAGATGGTTTGACAGAAGATGTCAAGTCAACTCATGGGTTCACGAATTCAACAATATTTGCATGCTTATGTCTTCCAGGCACCATTTAAATCTCTGTCATGTTGTTGCATGTGAGGTGTGCCTCTAAAATAGGTGAATGTTTAAATTTTAAAAACTTACTACAGTGAAAGATAAGATACATTGCCATTAATTCCGCTCACAATACTTCTCCAGGCTTTGACACATGTATCCCATCATTTTGCCACTTTCTGCAGCAGTTCAGCAAGTTCTTTTTCAGGTGTATCTTTAGTTGCACTCCTGTGGCTTCTTGGATGTCATGAATTGATTTAAAAAAAACTTGTCTTTCATATGCATTTTGACTTTGCAGCAAGAGCCAGAAGTCCGATGGTGTCAGACCCCATGAATAAGGCTGATTAGGACACATCCTGACGTTTTTATGAGTCTGTCTTTTTATTGAATGGCACTGGACAGCACAGCAATCACCATAATTTTGATAACAACTGTTGGAGACCCTCATGAAAGAGAATTTCTACTTCATAAAGTAGAAAGAATACTAAATAAGTGTGTTTGAAGCAACAGCAAGTGTTTGGGGGGAGCTAATGACGATATATGTTTTAGGAAATTAAGTTTTATTTAGACATACACCAGAAATTTTGTCAACCCTTGTAGTTTCCATGTGGCAGGCTGCTGAATGATTTCAGTATCATGAAACTTTCCTAGCCAAGAGTCAATAATGGTGACATGAAGGATTCCAGTACGGACATGTGAATTAGCACTGATAGTTTGCTTCACACTTTACCTATGTTTTATCTGCTTCGTAATGTCTCACATGGCTGAACCTTTCTTATCATGTAGGTACTGACAGCGTGTTGTCTAGAAATCCAAGAACAAATATGGAAATCATTGGGAAAACTTTACAGTACTAATGAGAACTTTAAAGGGCAGCTCAAAGCTTATGTGCAACTGCTTTGAGAAGCTTGACCTGCCCTTCTTCTGTGGACTTTTGGCTTTGAAACCCAATTCCAGTTTAATGTTCAGCAGGTATCCTTCAAGGAGGCGGGTGGGATGGGAAGGCTACAGATTATGGTGGTGAACCCAGCACCCGTAGTCTGGAGTACCGAGACTACGGCGAGGCTGGAGGTGGAAATGTCCGGTAGCTGGATAAGAAGGATTCAGATTGATATGAAGATGATCACCTAGGATTTAGACTCTCCTCTGAGCTTCCAGGAACCCATCCAAAGGACACTCTTCTGATGTCTAGCCTCTTGCTCCCTAAAATGATCTGGGGAGCGAACCTGCCAAGTGACCTAACATTTTATGCTATCCTATTGGTAGAAGATTAGAAATGTAAAAATTCCAGCCTGCAAAGTTTCAGTTACAAAATAAAGAGATTTTTCATGGGTTCAGTTATAAAAATAGCAGAGATCCTTGAAAGGAAGCATTTGTTTTGGGTCAGGGCCAATTTGCCACATTGCTCTCCATGTACATGTGTATCTGGGGGGAATGATTATGGCTTCTTGAACTTGGCTTGTTTCTTTCCTACTGGTGAAAGGGAAAAAGCAGACTTTGGATTTGATTCTGTTTCTGTTGTCCAGCGAATTAGGAGAGTTAGCCCATCTGTTACTCTGCTGCTTTTCTGCTGTGATTTTGTGGGAAAATAGTTCATATTCACTTCCCTATTTTTCCAGCCATCCTCCCTTCTGTGAAGAAAGATCCGGTGCCATGAAGTGATTACCTTGGAATAGTTTGATGTATAAAAGGGGAGGAAAAGAGTCTTTGCTCTTTCTGAGACAAGGCCAGAGTGGTAAAATAACTAATTCAAGAAATCACTTGCCCTTCAAATTACAACAGCAGAATAGAAAAAAAAAAAAAAAAAGACTTGTGAGTAGAGCGAGATTGAGAAAAACATGTCTCCAGGCAGGCTAATCTAATCACACACAGAAGGCAGTCTGTTTTCTTACTTGCTGGATGAATTCCACTTTATATTCTCACAGGGAACAATATATTAAGTACAGTATTTAGAAATATTTGTTGAATCCTACTGTCTGATTTTGGCAAGTCTTGAGGAAAAAAAGAATATGTCTTGGACTGTTTGAGCCTTCCTGGGAGGATATTGGAGTTTTCCCAGAGAGGCTGGCTTCCCACTGTGGGAAACACTGGTTCAGTAGATAATGTTGCTAGGATTTATATTTCAGAGGGCATTTAGTTTGTTTCAGTTTTCTGGGACAGCCACAGCTGATCTTATATGTCTCAGGATCTTAAGAAACCCAAAGTGTATGTTAGCTTTTCCTTATGTTGATGTAGTTATTTCCTTCTGCCTGGCTCTTAAGATGTAACCCACTCATCCGGTTATAAAGCAGGCTGAGCTCACCAGCTCCAAAATATCCCATTTGTGTATCACAAGAGAAAATGTGAGTGTCGCAGATGAGAGTGTGGCTGGAAGTCAGACCGTTATGAAGTGTCAGGTCCATTGGCTGGTCCTTTCTTCTTTTATGGAGCACTGAAGTATCAAGCACTTTGGCAAAATCCAAAGCAAATTTTGTTCACATGTGATCATCACACAATATGGACTGAGTTGTTGAAATTTGCCATGGGAATAATGATGCAATATTTAGAAAGTAATGGTGTGGCTCTGTATTTAAAAGTATATGCAAAAATGAAAGTGCTTCATTATGAGGAATTTGAAAGGAATACCTTCCTTCAGCTTAATACAGCTGGCATAACATAGTTTTTATAAAATATTTTCACAAGGGCTAACCTTGAATCTCTTGTTTCTTTGGTTGCCTAAATGTCAAGTATGCTTCTCTATGTTCTTTTGCTTTTAACTTAGGATTACAAGTTGTGTTAATCAGCTTTCAATCGCAGTGACGAAGTATCTAACAATTTGAAGGAGAGAAAGATTTGTTTTGACTCCAGGATGTGGAGTTTCAGTCCCTGATCACTCGGTCTTGCCGCTTAGGGCTTGTGGCAAGACAAGGCATCATGTCTGGGAGCATGGGTTACAGCACAGCTGTTCCTCTCATGGCCCAGGAAGCCCAGCAAGGACGAACCACAGGAAAGTGGCCTGGGGCAAAACAGACCCTTCAGAGATGTGCTCCCAGTCACCCACTCCCACCAGTTCAGGGGTTGCTAACCATCCCATAGCCTTTTCAGCTATGAATTCATACATGGATCAATCCACCGGTGAGATCAGGGTCCTCTTCACTCAGTTATTTCTGAAAGGCTCCACCTCTGAATACTGCTACTTTGGGGACCAGGTTTTAAACTCATGAGCTTTTGGGGGACATTGCAACCAAAACTAAAATTTAACCTATGGTTTTTCATCTGCCCTTGAGAGATAAGAGCGTCAACCTCGCAGAGTTGCCTCTACTTTTTATTTTATATTTTAATCAATACAGATGACTGACTGATGAATTATGAGGAAGCAGTAGTCAAGAAAACTGGCTTTTATGTACGAATAGGGACTAACACACACAAAAAAACAACCATAACAGTGGATGCTTTTGAGTGTTTCCTAACCACCGGGTTCTCATTGTGTTGAACCAACATTACATTTTTAATTTTAGATTTACACAAAAGTTGCAAAGATAAGGAACAGTGAATCCATATGCCCCTTTCTGGCTAACCATATTGTTACTGTGTATGCTCATCAGAGTGAAGGGCTAACATTGATACTTACATAATCTAAACTCTACAGTTTAATTCCATTACATTTATCCATAATGTCCTTTTTTCTTTCTAAGAAATCATCCTGGGGGCCACATTCCATTTACCAGTCATGTCTCTTTAGATAGCTCCAGTCTAGAAAGATTTCTCAGCCATTCCTTGATTTTGATGACCTTGACAGTTTAGAGAAGTCTTGGTTAATTATTTTGTTGAGTATCACTCACTCAGAATTTGCCTAACACTTTTCCCATAACTAGGTAAGGTGTGAGTGTTTGAGAAGAAGACACCAGAGGTAAAGCACTGTTCTCAAGATACCATGTCAATGGGGAAACGGCATTACCATGGACACTAACCTTGGTCAGCAGGCTGAAGTGCTGTTGGCCAGGATTTC